CTCTACATTGATCGATTTCGCGACAGATTCTAAAGTCAAATGTGACTCCATTTGTTTGACAGCTAAAACTAAGTCACACGACAGAACAACGACGCCGAGCACAGCAGCAAATCCACAAACAGAATCTACACCAAAACAGAAAAGACCGAGTCGGAGCTCAGAATGAAATGCTGTGGTGGTGTCCTAAGAGCGCTGTGCTTAAATGAATGCACAATGAAATGAAATGAACCAATATTGTGAAGAAGCGTGGGCCAACATTAATGCACAACAATGTGAGACACTAATAAAGGCACACAGAAACTGATCACTTCATGAATACTTCAGGTTATTGCTGCTAGAAGTGGTTCTACAAGCTGCTGAATCATGGAGTGTATTTTTTCACAGGACTGCACGCAGCACGGTGAAAACCTCGTTATTTACGTGACTGTAGGTCCCAACAATAAGATTCATCTTAGCCACAAATTGCTCGATTTAGATTGAATAAAACGTTTGAAGTTTTGCCTTTGAATGATTTCTGACTGCGACGTAACGGCACAGAATATATCCATTTCTAACAACTTGTCTGAAGCTGTCAGTGTCTTTCTGTGTGTTATCCTCGAGAAAGTCAACTTCAGACGCTGTCCAGACCTGATTCTCTCAACTCTGTCCAACAATGATGCATGTAAACAACTAAAAAATGGAAAAAGGGGACAACAGCAAGCCCTGCTTTGAAAAACATGAGCTAAATCTACTAATCAACAACTGTTATATTAATATATCTTATTTGTTTAGAAATGTTTTCCTTTTCCTGTTTCTTTTTTTTACCAAATGGTTAGAAATTGCGATTAATGCAAGAGGAGTTCTTTGATTTTACAAGTTTAGTTGCACAGCTCACCTTTATGACATGAAGAGGAGCCAAAGCCGACTAGGTTTCCTGCTACAGCCTTAAAAGAGTTGTTTTCCTTGGCTTACATCCAGCTTCCTAACTGTAACCAATCTTGCCATTCTCACTGAACGCCTACATAAACATGATCAATTTTCAAAATCACCACTGACAGCTTGTTTTTTGTTTATTGCACCATTACTTGTAATCTATCTGCCCGTTGCTGGAACCTTCATACCGCACCACGAGTCACTTAAATCAAACTTTCCCAATCTGACATTGTTGCCGCTGAAGAATAACTAAACTTCTTGACCCCATCTGCGTGATTACTTATGCTTTATTTAAATGACTCACTGTCTGGAGGAGCTGTCTGCATAAACAGGGAGGCTGACACCAAGACGAGGTAAAAAGGTTAACACGAACTGAAATAGGAGTTCTTCTCTACATTCCAGTCGTACCTGTCTATCGGTCTCACGGGCAGGGGAGTGAGGCAGACGAGGGGTGGAGTGCCCGGAGCTGGGGGGAGAGGGGGAGGCCAGGGTGGAGGATGTGATGGAAGTGGGGATGAAGCCCCGTCCTGTGCTGTCTCTCCCCAGGGAAGAGGGAGGGATGGGCGGACTGTCCAAAGCTACGCTGACCCGGCTCTCGATCTCCTCGGCACGCAGCTCTGTGTTCTCCTTCTCCTCCTGGATCAATCTGGGTTTTCAGGGCAACAAACATGTGGATAATATTAGAACTCAGAAAAGGGCTCCAGAAGTGTCCTGGAGCTCTAAACAAATCAGGACAGTCTTAAAGAAGTGGTTTGACGGTTTGGAGAAAAAAAAGCTTGGTAGCTTTCTTGCTGTGAAAATTGATACCATAGTCATGAATGTAGCTACAGCCAGCAGAGCAGAATTACTGGAGACAAGAAGAATCAACTCCTCTGGCTCTATCTAATAATATATCTACTGCACATATAAGCTGCGACACTTAAGTTGGCAAATTTACTTTTCTACTTTGTGTGTTTATTCTGTAAGAAATGGCTTTGTCTAGTATTCGCCATGCTAGCTTAGCAGTTGATGGCTCTAGCTAATTATTTAATCTAGACAAATAGGCAAATTCTCCTCACTCAGACCTCTACAGGAAAGCTAATCAGTGCGTTTTCCCAAAATGTTAATTGCTGATAAGTCAAATTCAGCTGTGAACCAAACAGAACACCTTTGGGATGTGAAACTGGAGATTTGCATCATGGATGTGCAACCGAC